CGGGACCTTCTTTTTACCCCCTATGTATTTAAAAAAGGACTTCTTATTGTCCTTAATCTGGGAAGCTAGTCCCAGTTCCATCTCTGCCTTGGCCTTCCTAACTACCCCCCTACATCCCCGAGCAACTGCAGAATAGTCCTCCCTGGTGAATGACCCCTTCTTTCCATTGGGTGTACGCCTCCTTTTTAGCAAGGAGACATTCCTGGATGCTTTTGGTGAGCCATGGAGGCTTGCGTGTTCTCCTGCTCCCTTTGATCCTCGTTGGGATTACCTTTCTTTGGGCTTGGAGGATCATCTCCTTAAGGAGCAACCACTCTCCTTGGACACCTGGCTCCCTTCCCCTCCGGGACCTCAGCGCTTCTCCAACTATCCTCCTTAGCTCGCTGAAGTTTGCCCTCCTAAAATCTAGGGCCGCTGCCTTACTGCAGGCCTTTGCCACCTTGTGCTGGATGGTGAATTCCAGCAGGCGATGATCACTGTCGCCCAGGTGGATATGAAGTAGGAGAGGCCTTTTGAACAAGTGTCTTCTGTTCTAGCCACCTCCCTCTGCTCTTCTTATGGTGGTTCTAGCCATAGCTAGCTGCCTACCTTGTCTCAGTTCCTCAGTGGCTCTCAACCTTTCTGGACTCAAGGCACCCCTCCATATCTCTGATGAATTGAGTGGCACCCAATTTCAAAAACAAATTAATATATCCCAGTACTTACCTCCTTGCAGAGGGGATGTGCTGTGGAAGTGGGGGATCAGCCAGGCAGGAACAATGCTGAGCCTGCACCTATCTGCTTATGTCCCCATACCTCCTAGGCACCCATTAAATGACTTGGAGGCACCCCAGGGTTCCATGGCATCCTGGTTGAGAGTTACTGCATTAGATCATACCTTTAAAATACCCTACCTTGCTAAAACTGCCACTGTCCCTTCCCCACCCTGACGGGCTAATTCTGTAAGACTTGATGTATGATGTGTATACAAAATTCCAATTTAGGCAGGGAATATTTGTGTAACTAAGTTTTCCTCCTTTTCTTCCCACCTTGCAGGTACTAAAGGCATGGAGTGTTCTCCTTCCACACCCACCATGAACTCCTACTTCTACAAATTCATGATCAATCTGCTCAAGAGATTTAGCAGCGAGCGGAAATTACTGGAGACAAGGGGAGCTTTCATCATCAGGTCAGAGTGCTACCTTCCTCCCACTCATTTGCTGTGGCTTCCATCTCTCTAAGACCCTGAAATGTGCTTTCTTCCCAAATGGTGAATATGAAGAAGTGGCGTATTAGCTTAACACTTGCCTGGCTCATGGGTTGGACTGTTGGTGACTAAAGACCTCTCTTAGAGCCACTGTTGTTTGTCATTATTTAGGCGGATGTGTTCAGAGCAAGTGGATTCAATTTTCCTACTGAAACACCACAATTTTGCTCCTTTGTCAGAGGTTAACTCTTTCCCTGTTAAACACCCTCTCTTCAGATTCCATTTTGCAGAGAAACAAACTAACCATGTGAAACATGAAACCAAGTTTTCTGTGAGCATGTAGTCTACTGGGCCCTCATTTTGCTAGTGCAGGTTGCATCATGTTGTATTGTCTTGTGTGTACGTGTTGGTGTCCTTTTCAGAGCCTTTTTTATGAAATATGTGCACTCATCTGAATTCCAACAGTCAGCACCTCTAGGCAAGGCTGATCACTTCAAGGAAATGCTTTTAATGTGTAAGGACAACAATGGTGGAGTCAGTGTTTCTGTCTTATACATTGGCTTTAAGTTTTTTTTCCAAGGAGCTGAGATTAAGTGGCATATGCTAGAAAAACATGTTTTGTGACAGCTGGCATAATGTAATCTTTTAACACAATGAAAAGTAGGGTAGGGGAAGCAAATTCCTCTGCTTTCACTCAGGAATAATTGTCTTAAAGGTCAAAGGCAACAAGGTGCATTACAGAGGGGGAGGGATTCTTCCCTGACCACCTTAAGAAGGTTCTATCAAGGTGTGTGCTGAAATGCAACAGAAACATTAACTCCCTGTTGGGGAGGGGGAGAAATACTATCTCCCTAGCTCTGAGGCAGTGTCTCAGGATAGAATTAGTTGTGAAAGATCAAGAGTTATGTATAAACAAATTCATCTGTGAAGAGTGTAGAGATCAGAAGTTGACCCTTGAGTTGAGAGGTGGTGTGGCGTGCTATGGCCTCATCAGCTTCTGTAAACTCTTAAGTGCCCTAAAAGGAAGTTTCTGTTCCTTATTTGTGAAGACAGCTTTTCGAGTGTGACAGTGGCGTCTCCCTGGTCTGCCTGAGTCTACATGCAGCCTGAGATAGCTCAAAGTGGTAAGGTGCCTAATTCATCTCAGTGGGAGGGTAATGTTAATTTGTTAAACTGTCTTTTGATCTCTGTGTTAAATATATCTGCTGAAACAATTAGTAGTGAACCATCCGTGTACTTTGAGCAGGTGGGCTGGACCTTGATTTGGTGATTGAGCATGTTCACTCCCATTTTTTTCTTTAGCGGAGATGGGTATTTTTTTTCACCCCTTCCAGGAGCTCTTCTTCTCCTTTACATGACTTGCCAATTCAAACAAGACATCTTTGTCAGTTTTCCCAACTAGTCTTGGTTGTTATGTGCTAATGGCGTTCTCCTGTAGAAGTTTAATACATTAGGTTTTAATTATGTGGGAATCTTAAAACAGCAAGCACTTCATCATTAAAATATTCCCATTCTCAGCGCTTCCTCTCTTCTTTCTTCTGTGCAGCAGAAACGAGTCCACAGTACGAACTGCGTAGGATGTCTGGAGAGAAATGGCCGCCTTTCTCTTGAAAGGGACGGGGCAAGTTCACAGAACAGGAGAGAACAATTCCTGGTTCTGACCTTAGCTTTGAGCTTGTATAGTTCTGGGTTAAATATTCCTGCAGTCATCTCTTCTGTCCACATGGTGAATATGTTTTGGGTACAAAGACTTCCAGGCTTGCTGTGCTATTTCCCAGGATACAACAAGAGCTGTAATTGTGCTGGTTCATGGCAGTTCATCAAGCAAGAACATTTTCATGGTGGCTGTCCAGAATTCTTGCTTTCTATTAAAGGAAATATCTCCAGCCCTTATGACTGCAAGGAAAATGATCATAATGTGATCTTGTGTAACTGATTCAGTGGCATCTCCCTGCGTCTACAAACAGCATGGTGCAGTGGCTCTGAGAGCCATGAATTGCTCAAATAGGTGCAGTGGGAATTAAGTGTGAAGTTTAATGGAGATGCTTAAAATGCCAATTCTGACTTTCCCTGCTTATTTAAAGAAAGTGAGAAGGGGGTAGGATAATAGAGAGCGTTTTTAGGACTTTTAGTGGGGTTGGATGTGGGCGGTAGGGCAGGGGGAAAGTTTGAATGCTTGATCTATTTTCACAGAGGACCATTAAAGATGGAGTCTTCATGATGATGTTTAGTTGCAGTTTAGATTAGAACTGTGCATCTTTTCCCCTGTTGTAGTTTCACACCATCCCTTAGCAACTCTGGCTTCTCTGCGTGGAGTGCTAGCCACCTGGAGAGGCAGGGCTTGTTCTGGGAGTTAAGGCAGGACAGTAAGCCAATCTAAAGTTTGCTATTGGAGCATGTTCTAGGCTTTTGGTGTGCAACCATTCCACAGTCACCGAAGTTCAACAGTTTCTCTTGCTTGTTAGTGGGGTCTGGCTGGGTTATACAGAGCACAAAGGGAATGCTTAATAAAAGGTTCTCAAATGTGTACCAGTTGAGGGTTCCCTCAGATACAGTCTTTATTCTTCCTTCTACCTGCTCCACAACCGACTTCGTTCTTTTCCAGCCACCTGCAGCCCCAGGAACACCTTAAGACTGTATGAGTATCAGTCAGTTACTGTGTATTTTGGGGAAAAGTAAATGAAAACAAAATTGTTAAACTGAAAGGAATGTTTCCATCCAAAGAAATAATATGAGATGGAAAGGAAATGTGGGATAGGGTTTTTTAAAAGCACAAAGCAGCAATTTTTGCTGTAACTTTGCCAGCTGAGTCTAGAATTGGGCAAAAGGAGGCAGTCCAGAGGGTCAGCCAGAGGGTGCCAAGTGATGTTAGGAATGATCATGTTTTATTTTCCAATCCTTGTCTGGGGCTCAGTAATGTCTGTTTGTAGTTGATTATTATAATATAGACTTTCATCTCACTGCAAAGTCTTCACATACCACAGAGAAGGAAGGTACGCTGTGTGCTTGAGCTTTGGGCAAATGCAATTATAAAATAACCCCACAGAATGGAAGACGCATCCCTTTTCATGTCACGAGTGCAAAGTATCTTTGGCAATACAGTCTGTGGAGAGGTGTTGACCTTTATTCCTAGGGAAGGAAATGTCCATCACTTTCTTCTGACCAGATGAACTCCATGCCATGGCAGAAGCGTGAAGTTAGAGTGAAGAGGTGATTCTTAGTTTTAATCGCACTAAATCCCTGGTGCTTGGTGATGTGAGGAATCTGAGGAAACCCACCTTAGAGAACTGAGCAGTTATCAGAAGTACAGTACTCAAGTTACTGACCCTTTCATATTTAGGGTGAGTCTCCAATCACCTGTTCTTACTGAGGACTCAGACCATGCTCCTGTCAAAGTGGCTCATTGCTCTTAGGGAACCCAGCACTGAATTTCCATTTCACCCAAATTCTTCATGGGGGCCTACTTTCTTCAGAAGCTGGCTAGCCAAAGCACTGTAAGGGGAGGTGAAATATCTGGTTTGTCTACATGGACTAATATGCCTTAAGCATGAGATT